AGCATCCGTATTCAGTTGCCGTGCAAGATACGAGCTCACTCTACCACGTTGCTGGCTATTTACTTTTATGGCTTGTTTGCCAGCTCGTGAAAAGTTTCGGGCCGCACGCCCAAGTGACCCATTAAACGAATTGAAAATGAACAACAGCCCGTCAAGAACTACAGAAACTGCTTAAACCCTGTGATAGGGCTTCTGCCCAACTCGGCTTTGTACCACGGCGCGTATGTGTAATAAATGTTGATTGAGTTGCACTGCATTGCAGCTCAGAGGCGAAGTGAAGTCACATCAGATCGAGATTGCTGGGCGAAAGTTGTGGTCATTGCGGTCGAACGGATTTCATTGAATCCACCGCCCTGCTGGCACTCACAAAAATCCCAATATGCCATGGCAATGAAGGAACTTTGCCAGCCAGAAACCAGAAAACTTTACCCATAAGCACACAAGTATGGCGAAACACGACCAACCAAATGCGCAACGCACTGGAACAAACGAACGAACAAACACACAAGCAAACAAAAAATAAAATCACAAACTCGTGCCAAACAACTGGCAAACGGAATAACAAAAACGTTTGGCATTTGCCACTTGTGGCCCTCGTGGCGGCAACGTGGCGTATACGCAATATGCAATTAACTCGACCATTTCCTTTCGGTTATGTTCCACTCCCGTGGCCGGCACAGGTGCAAATTGAAAATATGTTGCCAATTGATGTTAATTAAATTCATATTTGTGCACTTTGAGTGCCAAAAGTGCTTCGCTTCCTTGAGTCATAATAATTAAACCGAATTTATTACGGCAGCTTCGACTAATATAAATGAATATATTCATGAATTGAGAACAGTGACACAGTTGAGATGGAGTGGTAGAAATATCTCAGGTAAATGCGGCACCTGTTGAATTATAAAGCAAGCAGAAACTTTAGCAAGTGAAAACATTTCCGAGTGTTGCGTGATGTCTGTTTGCAAGATGCACCACGCATGAGTTGATGCGACTTACATAAGCAGCTTCAAAAGTCATTTGCACACACGGAATGAGCCAGCCGAGCGACAACCAACAGCCATTTTGGCCAATGTTCCTTGTTTGCATAAATTTCATGCGCATTTCCCATTGCATACTATTTGGGGCAATTGCATTTTGCATAGATGGCCCGCCATTCCGCTGTGTGGGTGCATCTATGCACGCAATATACTATGCATGTGTGCATATCTGGCTGCATTAATGGATTCCATTTTATAATTTACAACGATAACATTTTGAATACATAATAGCGAGTGGCAGCGCAATCGTATAATTAAAAGTGCTCACCTTTAGGCCAGGCGAATGTGGGCAAACTGATTCCCTCCTCAAAAAGGAATAAAATATGAGATTCCATTGCCCTGGAAGTAGAGATAAATAAGGAAATAGTTATTTTTTGAAGTTATTTTGAATGTCCTACGCTTCCAAATTTTCTGCCTGTACTGAAAGCGAACTTGTTGCATGCCTAGAGCTAAGAAATGGCTTATTGCACCTTTGAGCACTCGCATAATGAATTGTTTATCACTTTGTCATTCGGTGTCAGGCACAGGCGATCGATGAGTGGAGGGAAAAAGCGACGCCCCGCAGAAATCAGTGGAGATAAATGGCCACTATAATGCGCACAAATTAACATGCCATTCATCTTTAAGCCGGCCAAGTGGCACTGCCACCAGTTAATGGCAGCAAAATCTCGGCCAACGAATGTGGTCGACAATCAGTCTTCGAAAACACACACGTGGTAGAGGGCAGGCGGCAACCGGTACATATGATTTAATATAATATTAGCGGAGGGCAATGCATAATTCATTTTAAGCACCACTTACCCTTATGACGAACGGCCATGTAGGCGATTTAAGGCGCGCTTAATGCCTTTAATACGCCGTTTTGGGCCGAAAAGGGAGCTTCTGCCGGTGCTGACCCTGATTTATGGTGCGTATACTTGATGCGGCTGCTTAACCGCACAAAATGCCTGCCGAACTCCATGCTGCCGTTTACTAAAGCCTACAATAAAACTTCAAAACATGACACACACACATTGCCAACCTGCCGAGGGCCCATTATTAAATTTACAACATTTCGATGCGTCTGCATTTCAATTGGGAAGTAAACGGTTTAAGGTTTCCAGCCTGCACACCCTGCACACAATTTGGCCATAAACTTTGCTCGGTTGCCTGGCTGCCGGGCAACTCGGATTTTGATATATTCAAACCTTGGGGATGGCCAGGCAAACTCGGCTCCTGTTGTTGTGTGTTTTAGGCCAAGCACAATTTCATTTATCAAAGTCATAAACTTTTCAGTGGCCGGGCCGCAGAATGCGTCATAAATGGGGATTCGCACAGGCTCAGGTTTGTAGGTTGTTTATTGACTCGAAACTGGCGGCTCAGCCAACTAGTTATTTGAAAGGGTATCTAGAAGTAGCAAAGCAGAACGACTTTTAGGTATCAAAACACTTCTTAGAACCTCTTTAAAAGGATTTAAATTCCATTGATTCGGTGCTTCTTCCGTTAATTCAGAATCAAAAACAAGGGAAATGGCTGAGTTGTGCATTTGATTTGCTGATCAAAGGACATCCACCGGCAACGAGAGCAAAGTAAACAAATATGCATAAAAATCTATACCATTTAACTACCACTCAGTGGACGATGGCTCGCTGTGAAATCTGTGAAAATGATTTTAGTGCCGCACGGCACGGCAATTCGATTACCAACCGTTTGATGTCCTGCCAGCCGGCCAGGCATTCAGTTTCCCTCTCCAATTAGGGAGCCACTAACGACTCCTTTTAGCTGAAAGCCTGGAAACCGGCCACACACGTCAATAAAAACAAACAAATACGAAACAACCGCGGGCAGGACAACCCGAAGGGAGAAGAAAAATCCAATTCTATGTCGGTTAGTCAAACACAAACCGAAAATCTGTTTATAAATCGCTCATCCTTCTAATTCGACTGGTCTATCGGCTTAGAAAATGTGGTTTCGCCAATTTTTTGTGCCACTCAAGCATTTTCTCTTTTTTTTTTTTTTTTTTGCCAAAATGGGTAGCTAGGAACCCGACTCTCAAACAGTCGAACATACAGGCATAAAATGCGGCAATAAAATCGGGTTTTCTTTTTGGTTTTTGGGAAAAGGTAAGGATCGTATGTGCGTCTATAATTTATGCAAGCCGGCATTTTCATGGCTAACAACGCACAGAGAGATTTCGAATGAAGCCGCTTGCCGGAAATCAACAAAAATTTATTGAGCATAAATTCCGATCCGAACGTTGCTCTTCGCCTGCCCCCGACTGTTGCTTTGTTTATGAAAGCGTTTTATGGGCTTTTAAATTGATTTTATTTCCATTCGTACTGCCATTTCCTCGTCTCTGATTTCCTTAAAGCTTCCGTTTGCCACGAGTCCTGTGGCAGCCCAATTACATTGGCTCCCCCCAATGAAGAGATGAATATTTTGGAGCACAGCTGTTGCTCTTGCTCAGCGTCCCATCCGATTACTTCCAGGAGCTGGTGGTGGTGGCTGGAGCACGGATGACCTACCAGGTGGCCCGACTCCATTTCCATCCCAACATCCTCGACATGTTGTCACTTCTCCCATGCCCGCCACTCAATGGACATTCAATGAAATGTTTTATTATTGACAAAGACACAGACTCTGGACATCTTATCGCACTTTTTCCACCCACACAACTTTCCTGCGCAATTTTCCAACACACTGAGGAAAATCCTAAGTGTCGGGCTCACCATCTGATGTTATATAATAGACAGAAATTCCTCAAATCTTTTTCCAGTGCTCCGAAGATTTCCGCGCCCTTCTCCCTGTCCACTTAACTTTGCGCCTGTCGCTTTCAGTTCTCCTGCTGCTGTGCACTGAAATTGGGTGCGATAATATCTAATCATTACTTATCATTTTAGGCCAAGCAGAGCTGGGGCTGTGTCCTCCACCCACATCGCCGGCAGTCCCTCCAGTTGGCCTTTTCAATGGCTGTCCGGCCGATTCTCAGAGACTGTCGTCCTGTGGTTGTTAAACAATCCCATTCACTGCCTTTCCCAAGCCCGGGGCACCGATTACTGAACAAATTAAATTAGTGAAAATGCCGAAACGAGGCGAAGGAGCCAGGTGAAGCAATCTAATTGCAGGGTGGTCGGGGATTTGCGGGTGGGTGCGTGTCTGCCCACGTGGGACATATGGTAAATCTGCTAAAAATGCGACCAGGTGTCGCCAGTCAATTGGCCTCTGGGGTCCTGGCTTCCGTTTCCCGTCTTGAACAAGCTAATTAGGTTTAATGGCCAGGGACCATTTAGCTGGTCGCTCCTGCTGCCTGTCAAATGCCAAAGGGGTTCCCCAAAGGACAATCGTAGGTCAAGGGCTAGTGAGGGTTCACACAGTAGTGGCTGTCTGGAAAACTTAATTAGTCATGTGCTTTTCGCCATTAAAATTGACCTGTCCTAAAGAGAAAAACGAAAAGCAACGAAAAGTTCGACCATAAATCAATAAATCGATTCCTGACTAATAAATATGAGTGCCTATTGAAATTTGATGGCTGCTTGGCTTTAACTCGTCAGCTTATTAAAATTAGGCAGAATCCTGTATTCAAAGATAAATTCTAGACATCAAGCTAATAAGTGATGGAGCACATATATATAAAGGATACTATTTCTATTTAAAATATAATTTACAAGGCTAGTATTTACGCAAGTAATAAAACTTTACATACAACATGAGGTTTCATGAATGGCTGAGTGGGAAAACCGGCTAGGACAAGCTTTTGTTAGAAAAGCTTTGGAAGAAGAAAATTCAGCTCGTTTCAAATGGGAAGCAACGCAAACCAGAGAGGAAATAGAGTCACATTCCTGCATGGAATCCGAATACATTACCCTACATCCTTGAGCCGCCCACCAGCGAGACCTCGACATAGACCTAGTACAAGGACCCCAAGGAGAATCGATCAAACAATACTTCGGCATGGCAGCCAGTCCAATCAACAAAGGCCGAATTAAAGCAGGTCAGCAAACTGGCAGCCAGCGGAATGCGCTCCATTCAGTTCCAGAGTCACAACAACCTCACAATGAGTGCCAACAAAATCTTCCTGCGCTACTATCCGCCAGGTGGGAAGGTCATTTAATCAAGTGCTAAGTAGATGCTGACTTTTTGGGTTCTCTAGGACTGGCTGTCAACTACAGAACCGCGAAGGGCAATGAACGGCTGCGTCACTTCGATCTGCTTGACCTAGATTCAAAGTAAGTAAAGCTTTGCAGGATGCAGTTTATGCGAATACTTCTTTGCTGCAGAACCAACATAGAACCTCTGGCTGACAGGATCCTACTGCAAACCCTGGCCGAAGCGGAGGAGGAGCCATCACCTAGGGATTCGGAGAAGACCTCTGCACCTCGTCCTGTGAGCGGAAGTGTCGCCAGAGCGCAGAACACGTTTAGTGCTCTGAAACAGGCACTGGAGAAGCTGCAAAAGAAACTCCGAGAGCCTGTGAAGAAGAAGTTCTATCTGCACAAGTGCCACAACTCCCACATCCTTCCTCTGACCAACGTGTCCTTCGACCGGAGTGGCGAACGCTGCCTCACCGGCAGCTATGATCGCACCTGCCACGTAATCAACACCCAAACGGCTCAGGTGGAGCACATCCTCACTGGCCACGACAACGTTGTGTTCTCGGTGGGATTCAATTTCCCTCACTGGTTGGTTAATCTACGCAGAGATGGATCTGGAAATTACCTGACAGCCTCTCCAATTATTTTCAGCGACAAGATAGTGACTGGATCCTTTGATGGCACCGCAAAGGTTTGGTCCGCCACCAGTGGCCACTCTCTGTGCACTTTCTATGGACACACCGCAGAACTGGTGGCCGCTGAGTTTCAGCCGGTGGATGGAAAATCCATCGCCACTGCTTCCCTGGACGGATCAGCCAGGATCTACGATGTGGAAACGTGCCACGAGCTCCAGCAACTGAACCATCACGGAGCCGAAGTTATTGCTGCCCGCTTTAATCGCGATGGTCAGATGCTGCTCACCGGCTCGTTCGATCATACAGCAGCTATTTGGGATGTGAGGAGCAAGAGGTGGGCTAAGATCTGAGTTCAGTACGACCACTATTCGAAATTTCCCTTACAGTCTAGGGCAGCGGTTGCGTGGCCATGACGCTGAGTTGTCCAACTGCGTGTGGAATTTCAGTGGGTCTCTGATTGCCACTGGCTCCCTGGACAACTCCGCAAGGGTCTGGGACATTCGAAAGCTGGATCAGGAACTTTATGTGGCGGCCAGGCACAGTGATGAAGTGCTCGATGTGAGCTTCGATGCCGCGGGCCGACTTTTGGCCACCTGCAGCAGCGATTGCACGGCCAGGGTCTGGCGGCTGGAGGGATCCTCGGAGTTGGAGATGCTCTCCCTGATGGCAGGACATTCGGATGAGGTGTCCAAGGTGTGCTTCAGTCCCAGTGGCTGCATGCTGCTCACGGCATCAGCGGACAACACGGCTCGCCTGTGGCTCACGGAATCCGGACAGTGCTCCCAAGTGCTTGCTGGACATGAGGCAGAGGTGTTCAGCTGCGCCTACAGCTACACAGGCGACGCCATCCTGACCGCCTCCAAGGATAACACCTGTCGCTTCTGGAGGTGATACGACTGGTACACTGTGCAGCTGAACGATGGATCCATGGACTGATTAAAAGCTTCGGAGTGTGTGTGTTTTTTTTTATCAACATTTACTACAAACTCGAGCGTAATTTTGCTTTTCTCTCTTAAGATTTTCTTCATCAACTCGTTTCTTATAAATTAATAGTTCTTAGTTTTCATTCTCGTTTCTTTAAGATCGGACATTATTGTGGATTTCTTTTGTTTTGCTTCTCTTACTTAAGGTTTAGGTATTACTTTTTCGTTTCCGTACATAGATAGTTACAGGTATTGTTTGCTAGTTTGGTTTCCTTTTACCATTTTTTTCTGGTTTTCTTTAACATTTTTTACTTTACATTATTAAGTTTCGCTACTGGCTTGGCGACACATCTTCTCGTACACATATAAAAAAGGTGAACAAAAGGTGTTTTCGGTAACAAACATTTTACAACTTACAAAGGTCCGCGCTTTCGGTTCGGAATCAATAGTTAATACATGGTTTTTAAATGAAAAATAAAATGTTCTTGTACACACAAATTTCTTAACTGTCCGCCTCCGTTCTTAATAACATTTGATACCACATTTTCCATTAGTTTTCCTGGCGGTTGTACTGCTGATAGCTGATTGATGAGGAGTGACGGAACGATAGGGCACACAGAGGGTTCACATTCACATAGATGGATGGGTGCATCAGAGGGATCTGATCGGAGTAATCTGTTGGGTGTGGTCCTGGTGCTGGCTATGAGCCATCCTCTGATTTCATCCGATTCCGAGTCTCTGAGATCTGCTCAGGTACGCTCTGTTCTAGATCTCTCCTATATCTTAGAGTTGTGTGGGCGTGGCTGTTCGTATTGTTGTGTTTAGGACTGCTTCGTACAAACTATAAATGTATCGTTACTCTTATTATTATCATTATTAGTAGGTTTTTCTTTTGTGTTTATCAAAGTAGAAAACTGTTTGGTGTGTGTTCTTGTATGTTTGCTTCGTTCAAGTTGTGTGGCTCTGCTTTCTGTTCTGCTCTGCTCTGATCTGTTCTGTTCTGGTTGCTGCATTTGTTTAACTGGTTTTGTTTCGTGTTTCGACTGCAACCTAATGCGTTGGACTCTGCAAGAATAACAAATATCTGGATTATTGACCGTGAAGGGCAGCCGATGGGTTAGGACATTTTCAGGCAGGATGCACACTAGCGTCTGAAGCGGAAACGGAAGTGGATTGAAATAGGTGAGACATGCAGTGACAGACATGCGGTCCTCCCAAGTCTTGAAACAAAGGAACATAAACAAAAACATAGCGAAACAGATTGGATGGGGGTCGATGATGATGGGGCAAGACGAGCAACATAATGAATTATCTGCTTACATTTAGAGTATGTGAAGCATAGGGTGTTTAGTTATCTTTGTTCTCTTGCTGGTTGGTTGTTGGTTGGTTGGTTTAAAAATGAACAATTAGCATTACAAAATTCATATATCATCATATGCATACAGCTAGAAAAAAGAAAGAGAATAGGCGGCTATGATTAGAGGTTACGATTAAGGGGTGAGGGGAACCCAACTAAACATGGCACGATGATAAAAGTGGTTAATGGTGATGACGATCGAATGAACTGCTGTGATAGCTCTATCATTACCAAATCCTCTGGTGTCGATCTACTAATTGAATCAGAGAAAACAAGGCAATTTCAAAGTCTATGGCTATAATGACCAAAAACGGTGCTATGCAAGCGATAAAATATATGTGTTAGCATTAGCGAAGGCGCAGCGAACTGAGTTACAGATTATAAAACAGATTTCGTACTTCACATGGTCGATCCGGAAACTCTTGCTTGAATGTGCGCTCGATAACGTGATATCTGCAAAGGTAATCAAACACCACTGATTAGCAATCGCCGGTCGCTATTTTCGAACATGATCCACTTACTTGGACTGCAGACCGCCTCCGGGTGGAAGACCTTCGATGTCGTCTCGGTTCTGCAGGCATTTTAGCAGATCCACGTAGTCGGTTATCTTGCTAGACTCTATCTCGTCTGCAATAAATCAGAGAAATCAGTCATTAGTAATGTGCAGTTTATAGAACACTATGTTAGCTCAAATGACGTTTATAAATAAATATATATGTACATAAATGGTCCATAAAGAAATACGAATTACACAGTTAAGCTACTTTAAGGCAAATGCAATATATAGATACGAACGCTGTCATACAAAATATCAAAAAACGGGTATGTGTGGCCCTCTTAAGCGATTTTCAAACAAGGGAATTTAGTGAACTTGCAAGATTAGCAAGAATTGCTATAGCAAGCGCAATCATTTAGGTCTGAACAATCTCGCAATGATGGTGTCAGCATAATCTTTTGGGAAATAAAATGCAAAAAAGCCTTAAATACATTTAAGACAATCCAATTGATCTGGCCATAGCAAAAATAAAACTTCCAATAGAGGATTTCTTAGCAAAAGGATTGCACAGAACTTTTTAGGTGCCTTCGTTGCTCAATTCAATTTTCCATTGTGGCTAAGGGGTACATGCATTTTCGATTATCTGCTGGATTGGGTGGATCACTTTTTACAATTAATACACAGATAAGAACTTATTGGAGGCGGTTCTGGGTGGGTGTAGGCAAAACAAAATCAAACCAATCAACCGATAAGATAAACGATAACGTAATGACAAAGTGGCTTCGAAAAGTTACAAACTACAAAATTATAGACGTACCTTATGCTCACTCATCTTAAATTTGAATTGCTTTCTGTTTCTTGTTCTTGCATTGACATTAGGCCCATTTGGCTAATTCGCGCTCTGATTTGGCAATAGTGTATTGGAAATTGGGATTTGTAGTACGAGGCGCGATCAACAACCATAAAACAACGACAGCGAATGGCTAAAATTTTCCTTTTGACAAATTACTTTAGATAAATGTTAAGCATTAGCTGAAACTCTCACGAAATCGTGTAAAAGCTATGGAATGTTTGGTTTTCAAATGAACGTAATATAAACAAAACAAAATCGATTTTCGCAACGTGAAGTGTGGAAAGAAAAAATGGAAATAAGCAAATGAAAACCGAAATGATTCCAATAGAACAGCAGACAAACACTTTTGCTTTGTTTTTCGAATCTTTCGTTAAGTTATATTTTTGACTGGCATCATTAATCTCTAAAAGTCGTGTATGTTGGGATGTGGATTTTGTGTGTTTTACACTCTTGACTGGATCACCAATTCACCAGGGCACCCGGGTACAAACATTTCGGGGGAATTGCTTAGATTGAGTGGAATATGTCTGATCGTTTTGGGTGGAGTAATCGTTTGCCTTCGTTAACAACAAGCACAACAGTTGGTGAGCATAAGGTTTACAATTTGGTTTCGTTAACCTACGTATACATTCTATAACATTCGAACTCCTTTGGCTACTCTACTCTAGGCTAAGTAATTCGTCTGGACACTGGACATTGAGTATTGGCCATCTATGGCTTATTGCTTAGACAAAATAATTTCCTAATGGGTTAGCTACTGTGACCAGTGGTGGGCAATGCATGCTCTACATCTATTCACTAACTGGCTAATTGTAAATCGTACGAAGTCGGGCTAAAGTAATTGTCTATATCAACAAGGTCACGTCTGAAGCTCGGCCTGCAGGCATCGGCCGCGTTTCACTTTGGTGTTTCGAATACTGAAGTCTTGGATAAACACTCCTTTGTTATTCATTGCTTTATATACGTAGTTCAAGTAATACGACTACAGCTCATCTGAGCGGTTTCTAGTTAATAAAATATATGTTCTCATTGCTTGTCAAAGTTTCTGTCAGCGATTCAGCTTATTTACAATTCTAGCTACAACGAATCTTCTCTGAAGACATTCTCCTATTTGATTTTGCTTAGAAAATTTTAGATTTTGCTTAATTCGCTACTCCTACTAGATACATCAATTCCAAGTGTTTGTTTTGAGTGTCAATACCTGCGTACGTTAAGTATTGCAATTTTGTTTGATTGATTTGCATTGCGACTAGTAAACGTATACGTACATGTACATGTATATACAAATTGGCTGACGGGTCATTTAACTACTTTGCTCGGGCAGGTTCGTCGATAATTGTTATTATTTAGGTGTATATGTACGACTAAAGCTAAATGGGCTGGATTTCGCATACATGGAACGCTTTTGGCAGTGGCTGTAGTACACACAGGCATGTATAAATAATACTTTAACTCAGGCACACACACGGGGCGAACGAACACTGGTCAGCCACACGCACAGCCACCAGATATGACAAACTAACACGCTATACAGGTATTTGCTATGCATAAGTGATAGGATATTGGTTGAACGCCCACACACGCCCCATTTACACATTTATACAGGGATGTCGGTGAAAGCTCTCTGAAGGAATATAAGAAATGAACATAAATGAGCCGTATTATGTAATACACAACATTTATATAGCACTCTTATAAACAAAACGGGCTTGACCCTTATTGCTGCTGATATGCATTTATAAATTCCAACAGATTTAAAATGAATATTAGAAATATAAATATAGATTATCTGTGCGAATGAGTATCCATCCAAGAGAGCTTTCACTGTACTTAAGGTGGGTATGTGTGGAGTTCATTCTTGGCATTAGTAATGGCAATGGTTAGGTTTTCGTTTTGGTATTGTTTTTCGTTACGGAACTACTTTTGAAAGGAACTATTTTGTAAGATTCAAGTGTTGGACAAAGTGGGGCAAATACAACTCTAGAAGCACTTTCGGCCGAGGCTGTTGGCCATCAAAGAGCCCAGATAAAGTGCTCGTGGCGGTCAAGGTACAAAGTATACGTATTTCGGTTCAATAGAGACACGAAGACGGAGACCACTACGCCAATGGTCAACAGTTTACGATTAGTTATAAACAGAGTAGACGACTTAGACAACCTCTTGTGATCTTCTCGATTTGCTTCTCCAGCCGATGTTCAGCCTCTATCGCCTCCTCGGTGGGCTTCGGAGCTCCGGGGAAGGCAATGATGATGATGCTCATGTTATCGCGGCTACCCTGTAGTTAGAAAATGAACAGCTTGTGAGAACTTTGACGATATGCATGGAAATCATGACTCACCTTGTGCAGGCAGGTGTCGACCACCTGGTTGGCGATGCTCACTAGGTTACTGGTCACTCGCATTCGCGAGTGAATGAAGCTGCACACGTCCTCGTTGGTCATCACATCCCAGATTCCATCGCAAGCGAGCACCAGGAACTCATCGCTATCCTGGCGGCTCTGACAGAATATCTCCGGTTCTGGCGATACCAACTGCTCGCACTGTCCCTTCTCCTTCACGTTCTTGAAGTCGTAATCGCCAAGGGCTCTCGAAACAGCTAGGGTGCCGTTTACGCGCTTTATCATCACACTGCCACCCGCATTGTAGATGCGCTCTTTCTCCTCCGGCAGAATGGGTTTGTGATCCTGCGTGGCGAACACCGGGACTCCCTGACGGCACAAGACTGCCCTGGAATCACCACAATTGGCGATGTACACTTGCGTGAGGCTGACAAAGGCGCACACGGCTGTGGTTCCGCCGCATTTCTCCGACTCCCGAGTGAATTCCGGCAGCTCCCGCATAACCTCGTCGATGCGCAGGAAGCCGGTGCGTATGCCCTTCACGTGGTCGCCTCCAATGAACTCCTCGGTGCTGATAATGCTCTGCAGCAGGTGCTTGGCACAGTGCTCCGACACCTTGCATCCGGCATGTCCGTCGAACACGGCAAAGAAGCTCCAGTCCGGCAGGGCATCACCCAGCCCGGCACGAGCGTAGTAGGCGTCCTCCATCTCCGACCGCCATCCCTGCATCGAGCTGACCCCGAAGAGCAGCTTGTTGCCCTCGCCCTCGTCATTGTGCTTGGCGGTTTTCGGCTTATCCAGGAATCCGCCCATGTTCACTGAACATGCTGTGTGCTGTGTGCCGGGCGGGTGCAATTCCTCCTCCTCTCAGTCACGGCTATGCGGTGCCAAGGAATCTACGGATCGATGACACAAGGGTATGGACTCGTTAAACGACTGCCAATCAATATCAACGAACAAGTCCTTGAACTTGAACTTTCATCGGGGGATGACTACGCAAAGGTCGTGCCAAAAGAGATAGTTTATAGTTTACCATATACAAATAAGAAACTAAATATGATAGCTGAATTTCTGGAAAATGTATCTCGATTTTTCTGACACTAACGGATGTGCAAGTCTCGGCTTTTCCAAATCCATTTCATATCATAGGCATTTCTACGGAAGTTGAGTTGACTCATGGCAGTTTGATTTCAGCTGAACATGAAATAATTTTTTGCCACACTCTCCGCAAGGTTCTTTAACGAATTTTGATAGTCACTAGGATCTAACTATTCTCACTATTAACTATTAATCTTAAAGTTCATATTATGAAAACTTCTCTGGAATGTATAGTTTTGCCGTCTTCATATAAAATCGAAGTTTAAACTGTTATTACTAACGATCAGAGTAAATACTTTATTTTATCTATTCTCAACGATAGTATCGCTGAAGGTCTGCTCATATGAGGTCCTATATATAAGCCGGTGAAAACATGTGAATTCCGAACTCGAATCAGCTGGCGCTTCATAATTAATATACGTACATTGTACTTATGTATATACATAGGTACAGTGTACATTTGCGGGGCTTCCCCTTGTCGAGTTTTGCAGTTGTGCTACAGAACAATAACTGTAAGCCGACTGCAAGGACATGGAAAAAGGCGCAAGCACAAAAGGGGGCGGGGCGGAAGAACCCGCGGCAGCTGCCCGCCCACGCTTTTCACCGTTATTTCCTCTGTTCCCCGCGCTTTTTTTTTGTATTTTCTTTTGGCACATCGATTTATCAAGGACGCGGCTTCGTCCTTCCGCTTGGGCGACTAAACTTAGCACCCGAAAGTGGGCGTTAAATAAATTTTGTGGAAAATGAGGGAAAAAATTGCGCGCAACAGCATCCATATTCCATTCACAAAACAAAAATGGTATAGGGACCAGCAAGTTGGCAGCCCCGTTTTCAAGGAGGCGCGGGGTGAGGCAAATCCGGCATGGCCCCGAAAAAAAATAGTTGGTAATGAAAACACACTCGCGATTTATGATCTTCGGTGCTGGGAAAACCCTCGCTCTCGTTCTTTTCACCTCGCAAATTTTCAGTTTGATGATCTGCTTCTTCTTCCTTTTCCTCTTGCTGCTCTGCTCTCCGCGTGCGTGTAGTTGTGTGTGCGCGAGTGCGTCGGTGAGCTGCGTGCGTGTGCGTGTCTGCCGTAAGTAAAAGTTTAAGAAGAAAAAACGAGGGCTTTGCGCTTGATTTTCATCGCCCGCTAGCGCTTTTAGGATCAACAAACAAGTCGCGCGCCTATTAACACTTTTGCGCGATCGCGAAATGCACTTTCGAGGCGGAAATGGAGTTTTTTCTAATATTTTGATTAACAAAGTGACTAGTGATGTAAAAAAACATCGGACATCGATGTACTAGGGCGATACTTATCGATGTTACTCGATATACCCTTTGCTATCGATTATAACGGACGGTACTCTCCTAGCGAATGCTTTCACCCACCTAAGCGAGTACACAATCCCATTGGCTATGTTAAGTGCTGCTGTTAACAGAAGTCCACAATCGATGTAGTACAGCTGTTAACCCGAAGGACGTACTCGGACTACACACAAAAAAATACACTGGTCCAATTGATAAAATTGAATGATAAATTTGCACCGCATTTTCTTACTAAGTATTGTATTAAGATATGCTTTAAATAAACAGGTGCCCATTTTTAGTAGCATTTAGTAGCAACAGGCAGCATGAATTCTTAGAATTATTTTGTAATCTGTAATGCGACGTTTGTGAATTCTATGGCTTAACTGATTAAAAGAGGTACTTTTTTTAGATGTAAGCACCAAAAACAAATTATGTATACATAAAGGAAACTATTCCTGATAAGTTTTTTTTTATCAGCGAAATCCTGAAATAAATCCTGAAATCCTGAAATAAGTCACTTATTTATTAGCTTTCACTGAAAAATATATAAAAAAAAAAACGTATAATAAATAACATAGATATGTATATGAACATGTGTTTCAAATGATTCGGTAGCTCTTTTTTATAACGGGTAAATTTAGGCCTATTTGTTAGAATCAATATGTATATACTTTTAATGACGAGTTTTCACAAGGCGTCACGATAACAAAGGCTGAATTAAAAACTACCCACCCAGATAGTTTCGGAATCATAAATATTAGTAATCTTACTGGTGATATGGGTGGTATAAAAGCCAAAACTGGGTCTTTGGGCTCCACACTCCTGCCCAGTTTTCCAAGTGACAGTGTGAAAATGTCGTTCAAGGCGGTCCTTGTTTTGCTGGCCATCGGCGCCGTCTTCGTGGCTGCCGTGCCCACTCCCGTCGAGATCGAGGGTGAGTTCTCGCTGGTGCAGCTCCTGCTCGGGTCACCGGCCATGCGATCGGATCTGTTCAACGTCGAATGCGTGGACTACTACAGCCCGCTCCTCAAGGGCCACGTGGACAAGTACAACGAGGACTTCATCACGTGCAAGGACACTTACGACGGGGCCTTCGCCCTGATCGACTCCAGTTTCCAATATGCCCGCGACAGCCTGGCCGGATCCGTGAGGAACAGCTGCCTTTCCCTGCTGACTTGCGATGGCAGGAACTCGAACTCCGATGCCTTCGATTGCCTGGCCTCTCGGGTGAGTGATCCGTAGAATGCGTGCCATGGGTTATAGGTGGCCTAAAGAGGAACCAGCACAAATCTCGGTTCTTCTTAGGCGCTTTTGAAAGTGTTTCTAACCGTGCAACGGGTTTTGCTTTACTTTCTTGCGTTCAATAGTGTTAATGAAATCCCCACCCAAACACAGGGCCCTTTGGCATCCAAGGAACTGGAGCAAGCTTCCTACAAGGCATCTGATAACCAAACCAGCCTGCTCGGCCAGGTGTCCGAAATCGCGGACACGCTATCCAAATGCCAAATCGAAGCCTACCGAACCTACAACACCAACCACGGCGAGTGCTACGCCGACATGGTCGCTTGTCTAGGTGATCCCAACTGGGAGTTTCCCAGCACGAGCTACTTGCTCTAGGACTCCAGTCAAGATCCCTGTATTCCCGGGCTTTTATCGCTGTAAATAAAAGGCTTTGCGCGAATTTCCATCATTTTTAAACGATTAATTTGTGTGCCTCTGAGGCTATCTAAAGAAGTGGATGATTTATTTACGACCAGCTCCTTATGAAGGTGTTTTTCAAAAGTAGCACAGAAAGCGTAAGGTTTTTGGCAGTAAAACATAAGCTTATCTACTCTCGGTGAACATGGCCATTCATGAAGCCAATAGTTATCAGTAATTGAAAATACATTACATTAATGTGTAATTAAAAAGATAATGATAAATTGATACGTGGGAGTATAAATACGACTGGGTGTCGCATTCATCGCCAAGTAAGCTGGCCAAGATGATACCGAAACAAGCCAAGATCCTGGTCTTCTGCCTCTCCTTGGGCCTCTCGCTGGCGGTGAAGCTGCAGATTCCCTTCAGGCCAGACGCCCACATCCAGGAGTTGCAGGCGCAGAGCAGGGAGCTGGCCGAAGTCCACTCGGATCACTCCACGCAGTGCTTCCTGATCTACAAGCCCAAATTGGCCAAAATAGCGGATCAGTTCGAAACTAACTTTGCGGCTTGCATCTCAACCTATGACAATTCCACTGCCCTAATCAGCGAAAAGTATGCCGAAGACCGCGCGATCCTCATCAGGTCCGCCAACATCGGCTGCTCGTATCCCAACTCCAATTGCCAGGTCTGGACAGCTGAGCAGCAGCAGCTGGACGCCGTGGTCTCCCGCCTCGAATGCGCCTCCTCCAACTCGGCCGAGAGCTCCAAGACCTTCTACAGCATTTCGGCCAATGCCACGCAGATTGCAGTTCGGATCCAGGAGGAATACACCCTCATAGAAAGCCAGAAGACAGTTTGCCTCAACAATGCAGATCGCACCTACGTGGAGGACACCTCCGAGACCTACGAGCTTTTGAACAACTGCCTCAAGAATGGAATTCCAACCACCACGTGTTCTCCTGTCACTTCCACTTCTACTGCTGCTCCTACTACTACTACTGCTGCTACTACTACTACTACTACTACAACCCCAGCAAAACCCTAAAAGAAATTCTTTCAATAAATATCAGGCAATCCAATTCTCTGTCTTACTCAACTAATTAGAACTGTAAGCACTTCACTATGGAGCTCATTTATCAAATATATGTTAGAATACGAAAAATGTGGAGGTGCCCAATTATTTGCGAAGGCATGACAGTACTTTTCTCTTAGTTAAATGACGAAGTTTTATATTAAACGGACAATTTGACACCCTGTTACGCAAATTGCCGTGATCATCGGAAATTTTGGTGCGAGACTGGCCCATTTAATCCGATTAAAATACTTATATCACTAAGGATTATTGAAGTAGCATAAGTAAGATATAAGCTGAACTATCATAGTATATTTAAGCAAAGTTTTTCTACTTCTAATTGTTAATACCCTTAGAAGGGAGTATTTAAATCAGAATGAAGTTTTCAACATATGCTTAAACACTAACTACAGTTTGAGTTTTGGGGCTAAATGCATACAACTTTTCCCGAAATCTTCTTTCCATTGCTGGTGGTACATAAGTCGGAACCATAAAGCTACCTAAGAAATAACCTAAAAATTATTGGAAAAGATGCACGTTCGTAGTTTTTAACACAATATAATTTCTGTTTGATCAAAACAGGAGGATAATTTTATAACGCATTTAAAAATAACCAAAATAATAGTAAGGCATCATAAGTTTATGTAACATAAATTTGAGTTTATATTTCTGAATTAAAATGCTTTTGGGAGCACATTACATACGCTTTTTGAGTTTATTGCACCAATTTCAATTTCCTTCTAGCCAAAGATTAAAAAAAAAACCAAGTACAACGTTTTTGCAATATGAAAAGAAAATTGAACCCTTGTTACTGCTATCGAGTCTTTGAAAATGGTGTCTAATAAATGTGATTTACTTTATTTGCCCTTAAATTAAAAAACATTTACCAATTACCGGAAATACTTGTAGATTAGGCAGAACATTGGCAACGCGACATTTCCGCCAACAAGGGGCAATTGGCTCGAATAAAGATAAGAAGCTCGGGAAATGGATATAAAATCACTTCGCTTTGCAACCGAAGTGTTCAGTAAGAAGTTGAATCTGCGACTTTTAGCCATGTTTTCCAAATTGTCCCTGTTGGCCGTGGTTCTCGCCTTTGGCCTGGTTTCTGGCCTCAGCCTTGGCCTCATGATAAAGCCTTCCAAGCTGCAGTTGCCGACCAACAAGAAGATCCTTGGTCTCCAGCAGCAGACGGAGGAGCTGGCCGCTCGGGATCCTGGCACATCGATAGCCTGCTTCGACTACTACATACCCCTTATCAACGGACTGTCGGCCCAGTACGAGTTTGACTACAACAAGTGCGTGAAGGACTACGACTACGCCAGCCAACTGATCATTGACGCCTGGAACAGCACTCTCTTCGGCATCCAGGCTTCTGGGGATAGTAGCTGCAAAAGCTTTTTCGACTGCTCCTGCATTGTGGACTCCGTGCTTGCCTTCGAGTGCTTCGCCAAAGTCGTAAGTCCCATGGAGTCAAGGAGACTTTCACAATGGTGAAATATATAAATTTTCTTTTGCATCATTTTGTAGGGAGCCGAGCAATCGAAGATCATGTACCAAGTGTCGGCAAATGCCACCGAAGCCGCTGTCCAGATCAAGATCCATTTGCAGACTGTGGAAACCAAGAGGGAAAGCTGCTTCAACTATGCCGAAAGAGATTTCGTGGAGGGCACCTCCCTCTACTACGGAGAACTCAACAAGTGCCTCGCTGGAGCTCCGATCCCGCAGGATACCACTGAGAATTGGTTCTATACCACCTAAAACTTTAAAACTTAAAGTTTATTATAATCAAATGTAAGGCCTAAATAAAATGTGTCTTCTTGCTTTACGTACTCAAACAAGATAGAATGCTATAGCCTAGTTCCCCGACTATCACATACCCGTTACTCAGCTGGTTGAAGTGCAAACGAGAAATTTCAGCATTTCCTGGAATATAGGTAGAAATTTGGGAAAAATTTATACAAAAATGTAACAATTTTTAGCTTTTGTAGTTTCTGAGATCCAGGCGTTCATACGGCTATTGATCTTGATCACGCATACACATATATACTTTATATGGTCGGAAACGTCAGAAAAAAACATTTAGAGGTATGCCACTTCAAAATCCGATTAAGATAAGTTGAGTTATGGAATTTAGAACTTCGGCCTCGGGACACTAATTAATTTTTTGAATTTCTACAACATCATACATCAGAAAAATTACAAAAAAATTGAAAAAAAATTAATTTCTAAATTTAAATGCAGATTTTAAGAGAATTCCGCCAGAAACATTTAGAGGTATGGCACTTCAAAATCCGATCAAGATAAGTTGAGTTATGGAGTTTAGAACTTCAGCCTTGGGACATCAATTAATTTTTTTTAATTTCTACAACATCATACATCAGAAAAATTACAAAAATATTGAAAAAAAATAAATTTCTAAATTTAAATGCAGGTTTTTAGAGAATTGCGCCAGAAACATTTAGAGGTATGCCACTTCAAAATCCGATTAAGATAAGTTGAGTTATGGAGTTTAGAACTTCAGCCTTGGGACATCAATTAATTTTTTTGAATTTCTACAACATCATACATCAGAAAAATTACAAAAAAATTGAAAAAAAATAAATTTCTAAATTTAAATGCAGATTTTAAGAGAATTCCGCCAGAAACATTTAGAGGTATGCCACTTCAAAATCCGATTAAGATAAGTTGAGTTATGGAGTTTAGAACTTCAGCCTTGGGACATCAATTAATTTTTTTGAATTTCTACAACATCATACATCAGAAAAATTACAAAAATATTGAAAAAAAATTAATTTCTAAATTTAAATGCAGATTTTTAGAGAATTGCGCCAGAAACATTTAGAGGTATGCCAATTCAAAATCCGATTAAGATAAGTTGAGTTATGGAATTTAGAACTTCGGCCTCGGGACACTAATTAATTTTTTGAATTTCTACAACATCACACATCAGAAAAATTACAAAAAAATTGAAAAAAAATAAATTTCTAAATTTAAATGCAGATTTTAAGAGAATTCCGCCAGAAACATTTAGAGGTATGCCACTTCAAAATCCGATAAAGATAAATTGAGTTATGGACCTTAGAACTTCAGTCATGGGACATTTTTGATATTCTACGACATCATAACATCAAAAAATCACAAAAAAATGTCGAAAAAATATATTTTCAAATTTGAATGCAGATTTTTAGAGAATTGCTCCAGAAACATTTAGAGGTATGCCACTTCAAAATCCGATTAAGATAAGTTGAGTTATGGAGTTTAGAACTTTAGTCATGGGACATTTTTGATATTCTACGACATCATAACATCAAAAAATTACAAAAAAATGTCGAAAAAATATATTTCCAAATTTGAATGCAGATTTTTAGAGAATTGCTCCAGAAACATTTAGAGGTATGCCACTTCAAAATCCGATTAAGATAAGTTGAGTTGTGGAGTTTAGAACTTCAGCCTTGGGACATTTTTTAATTTTTTTGAATTTCTACAACATTATACATCACAAAAATTACAAAAATATTGAAAAAAAATACATTTCTAAATTTAAATGCAGATTTTAAGAGAATTCCGCCAGAAACATTTAGAGGTATGCCACTTCAAAATCCGATTAAGATAAGTTGAGTTATGGACCTTAGAACTTCAGTCATGGGACATTTTTGATATTCTACGACATCATAACATCAAAAAATTACAAAAAAATGTCGAAAAAATATATTTCCAAATTTGAATGCAGATTTTTAGAGAATTGCTCCAGAAACATTTAGAGGTATGCCACTTCAAAATCCGATTAAGATAAGAGGAGTTATGGAGTTTAGAACTTCAGTCATGGGACATCAATTAATTTTTTTGAATTTCTACAACATCATACATCAGAAAAATTTCAAAAAAATTGAAAAAAAATAAATTTCTAAATTTAAATGCAGGTTTTTAGAGAATTCCGCCAGAAACATTTAGAGGTATGCCACTTCAAAATCCGATTAAGATAAGTTGAGTTATGGAGTTTAGAACTTCAGTCATGGGAGATTTCTGAATTTTTTTGAATTTCTACAACAAACATTTCGACGAATCTAGTATACCCTTTTACTCTACGAATAACGGAAATGAAAATATGAGGTTTAGATGGTTTTTATTATAGGGCTTCATGAATCGTTCTTTTACGTCATAACGAGTATTTGAACTATCAGAATTAATATTGCATGTTCCAAATTTGGTTTAATTTCAAAGCCACCCGAATGCGGACCACCCGAATTTTGGAATCATATCAGTGCCGAAACCGAAACTATCCAGCTAATTTCTTTTATGTCCGCATTTAACGACAGTCCCACTGCGTTTCACCAGTTTTCCCACAGTTGGAGGGAGATGCTCGACGATATCGGGGCATCTATCAATGGTGGCTTTCCATATCCATCCTCTGACCTTTGATCCGTTCTGTCCACCCCGAAGGGAAAAGAAATCACCGAGTGACCTGTGGCGGTGCAGGTATACAAAATCAGTTCGCATCTTGTCCTGACCTGCGATACGTGTACTTGTTGGCATTCACATTCCTTTTAAAGGACGCCGACACACCCGGGCTTTGTTCTCAAATTTTGCGCTTAATTAATTGTAAAATATTGGCTAGAAAATCAATTGCGATTGACAATTGAGTTGTAATCGCAATGGCCAAGTAGGCGTTGAAGGATCGTCGAACTCTGGGTCTTTAGTGGAGCTGGTTTTCGGCCGACGTTGCAACGTTGCAACGCTGCAACGCTGCAACGCTGCAACTACAATTGCCAGTCATGTCTTCATAAATTTCATTGAATTGAACCGCCGCTCGGAGTCCAACTTAAAGTCGGACTGGGACTCCTCAACATGCGCCAAAAACACACAGGGAACGAGGGGTGGGGGCCGTTTGGGGCTAGGATATACTCGTACCTATACCTATTGCGACTATTTCATCTTTTGCCGACGGCGTACGGCTCATGTTGTATGTAGCCTTAAATTGAATCGTTACAAATTTTGTTGCTCGTTATAGCAAGCGTTTTATTGCTCAACCAGTTTTGGTCGCCATGCAAAGCAGTCGCAGTCGCAGTCGGAACTCTGGAACGCTGGAACTCGGGAACTTGGCAACTCAGGATCCCGGGGATCGGGATAGGGATAGGGACAGGGATTGGGATCTCGGACTCTGAGATTATGATCACCGAAGCCGAACTGAACTGAGCGGAGAACGCAACGCCCCCTCCGGGAGAAACGGTAGTCTCTAGGGCCGGCAGCGTTTAATAACTTCATTAAATGCCCTTTGACATTTATGCCAGACACACACTTATTTATGTGGCACTATCTGCCCGACGGATCGGCACAGGTAGCCGGTGGCCAGGAGCCCTATAAATTACATAATCATCAGATAGTGAAACTGTTTACAAGCCGAGACTCGAGACAGGCACACCCACAGTAGCCACACGAAAAATGGGTACGAGATAGGAAAGGTCATCAACTATTCCTATTCCTATTCCAATTGATTAGTTTGCCTCATTTTTATGCGGAATTTATGTTCCGAATTTATTTTCCTGTGCCAGCCGCGGCTCAAAGCTAATTGCTCTAATTTCCAGCTAAGACATTTTTCTGGCTGCCCTATGAGCCATAAATATTGTCGATCTAAAGATCACTGATCGCAGCTTGCGCCCGCCGATTTTGATCAGGAGTCGGGCCAAAACGTCTCCCGCCGAATTTGTCGTCGGCCCTTTGGCCAGAACAATGGCCATTTGAATTCGAACTGGCCCAGAGCCCACGGCCAAAGAGGCCAAGATTTATTGCGCCCAATGCCCTACAATCTGGTGGGTACATTGCACTGCGTCTCCTTATCTCGCCAGACACTCAACTATACAGATACTATACACATTATATACATATGTCAGTTTGAAGAGCACGAGGCAGCTGGTGGCAACACTCACAATCTGAACAGCGATAGTACAAATAATTCGTAATTGGCCGACTAATTGGAGCTGATTCTTTTTTTTGTCGAACTAACGCCAGGAAATCGCTGAAAAAGTTCCATTGACAGCATATAGTTTTGCTGACGACATTTGCTATCTGTTCTCTATTAATTAGTTTGAGTTGCAAGGAGTTAAAGGTACAAACTATATAAAGAGATATGGAGCTCATTGCTACACCAAAATACTTATAAAACGAGCTATAGCTGGGAAAATTGGGTCACATTTGTAGAGCATTCGCTAGTCGCCTTGAAAAGCCACTTCTTTTCTGCCTTCGATCTGCCGCTGTGATTTTTGCGTACTCCGTCCGAATCAAAGCTCCCCTAAAATGCGAAATTCAGAAAGTGATCGATATGCGGCGGCCAGTCCACAGAACCTGGCTATCTTGTGGCCATTGTGGCATTCGGACAAAAATTATTATGTATCTCAGGGCGATTAACAGACGCATTTCAATTTTATTGCGGCAGATCATTATCGGAGCGCGGATTGGACCTTTTTGTTTGGCCGTCGCTGCTGAGCCCCAAAAACTGTGCGACAACAAATCATTAGATCATGATCACGATCATAACAAAATCATAATAAAATCGAAAGCACAGCAGAAACCCAGCCAGCCAGGCTTCAAAGGCGGCCCGAAATTAACATGGAGGCGCGAAGAGAAACTTTCCTTTCGCCGGACGACGCCAATGATTTCACCCAGTGCCACAAATTGGCCAATGCCACAGCGAAGGAGACCGCGGCACTACTAGGACTGCACTGGCAGAAATGGTGGCTAAAATGATCAAATAAATATTAATCAAAGTGCATAATCAAGATTTGTAAGGATGACAGATTTCCA